TGGCTACAACAACTTCGCATGGACAACGTCGGATGGGTAATGCTTTATAGGAAGTATGTACTGGACATCGATTGCCTTGGGTGATGGGATTAGGTTATTACGTTTAGATGACAGGCTGCTCGTCGATAAACACTATCATTAGAGTGGTTTGATTAGGCCTATACATTCTTACCCCAAATCGGAGCACAAAGTCACTAATGGAAGAGACCAGTGGGTCAGCTGTGAGACAGTTTAGGATATGGCACGGCTTTTGGGCAGGGTTGTCAAAGAGATGTCATTTTCGGCAAGCTGAGACTGCGACTGTTGATGGCAAAGGAGACATTTAAACAAATAAAGTCGCGTCTGTGAAACTGTTTTAAAATCGACGTCAGAAATTGTAAGCATTCAGGTGGTATGTAAGCCAAGGAAATTGAATGATGTACAAGTCATTGTCTCATTTAATCTTTACTGGAGTTGATTGCTGGTGAATTTCTACCGAATGATCATTTCAGTCAGGTTATTCAAATGAGTTTCACTTCGCATTTCACTTTGCAAATTTAGAGTCAACTGAAAATAAATCTTTATTCGCTGAATAATGGAGCCTGATTTTATTCAGAGGCTTGAACATGAGAACCCCTATTTAATGCAATATGTCAGCGGAAGGCGTTGCAAATGCGTTTTTCACTCAAATGCATTTCAAAAGCTTTCACTCTGGTAATGTTAATTCTAACTTAACAGACCATAAATGCAATCGGATTTTTAGAACCCATCAAGTCACTCTCGGCTTTTTAATTAAAAACCATTTCCATAAATGATCAGAATCGACTGAGGAGTGAGATCGTTAAATTCCACAAGTTCAGTAATACGATTGGCCTGTTACCTTCCAAAGTTGCAAGCTAAAATTTTTCCATTAAAATGGATTTTCTTGATTGCCCAAGTGTGAACGAAAGAAAAGCAAAGTCGGATAACCTGAATTTCCCAGCTCAATCAGTATCTGACCAATCGAAATACTCCCCGGTTCAGTAATTGCAAAAAGAAGCAAACCAACTTCCAGTCTAGATGTTGCTCATTGGTATGTCTAACCCCTGTGCACTAGTTTTAATCTCCACTTTATTCTTAGGCTGCCGGATCTATTTTCAGAAACTACATATCACGGCAATTCTCACTGCTTTCCCTCTCCTTGTCAGTGCTGCGAAATGCTTTTGAGTTCACTTCAAAATCTAGTCCTGTACAATGGGAGCGTCATTCAATGCAGTCTTCGATTTACATAATGGAGACAATAAATGGGATGGCATCAGGTAAGTTGCAGGTGACACCGGCAAAACTGCTACCAAGGCCGGTTTTAGCAATCGAAAAAGTAATATATCGCTTTCCGTTTTTCAATTTTAAGAAAGATAAATCCTATCGATGTGTTTTAACGCCATTAGCGCAACAATTTTTGGTAAGCAAGACTACAACCTATATTAATCTCTTTTATCGTGGATTCCCATGCATGTGCCTGTGTGTGTTTCTGTGAGATTGTGATAACTCTCTCAATTACAGACAAGGCCAAAACGTGCACTAACAGTTTGCGGACTTGTCCTGTTTTAATTATATTCGTCAGTGCCCAAATGCACCGCGATATCCTATCATGGAAATCTTGTGACGGGTGGAGAAGTGAGACCTGGCAAGCAAGATTTCACCAACATTGATGATTCTGGTCAGTACTGAAGGATGTGGGAGTCCACTTTTACACGCCGACGGGTGAGGTGTAGAAGTCGCTAAGAGGAGCACGGCTCTTAATTTGAACTGTAGATACTCTTTTGCTTTAACACCCTATAAATGAGGAACATGCAGTGATGGAAGTGAAAGATTATATGACCTTTGCATGATTTTTGTCTTGCATATTGGTGTGAGAACAAACTACTCTATAATATGCAAGAATTTGTTTGCTAACCAATAATCTTACCGAAATTGTAACAAATTTGTAGTCAAACCAGTTTGCCTTTAAGGTGATACGAATATTTGCAGCCTACCAATTGCCGAAGGAACGGGTGGCTACTACATGGCAATGTATGGGTGTAGTAACCCGTGAAACCACTGCGTGTGGTCCATCCATTGCGGTAGTGACGGCAACGCAAACCGACTCACCTCACTAAAGTACTGCCAACGTACCTGCACTGGGTTCCTAAAAGAGAAATAATCTTCCTTTGATTAATGACACACTTTCAATTTACATAATTTTCTGTTTGTCAACCAAATAAATAAGCGATTGCTCATTGAAGACTTGACTTGTCAATTGATTATTTACCTGATATTGGGACGCATCGGAACTAACCTACAATTGCAATTGATACTGAACTTGTCGGGAAAGGTGGTTGACTTATAGCTCTACACTTAATAGTTTAATTTGGGTGCCATCTGCATTGTGCGGTTAAGACGATTACGTGCTACTCATTTTTTGATGCCATTAGTATTCATCAAGATCATATCAAATTAGTAAATCAAACAGTTGACTATCGAATCTGAAGACACAAATACTAAAAAGTGATGTACTTAATTTAATCAGAGGAGCATCATGTGGACACATTTTGAAAAATTTTTAGCCCTACGCTAATAATAATAGCTTTAGAACTCCAGCATTGAAGGAAAGGTGCCACTCTGGATGCATGCTGTTTAACGTATAACAGTGTGACCGACTGAGAATAAACAGCATTCAAATAATTCAAAACGGTCCCTCAACAAAAATCATTGTACATGAATTATTGCATGCTTTGACTAGTTCATCAATGATCCTATGCCAAATGTCAACCTGAGGTGAAGTCCACTTCTGATATCACATTGTACAAGACTAATCAGCCAACTGTAAATGGAAAACTTCTTGAATGGTAAAGTTAATGGCCTCCCTGTTGCAGTCGATTTTAGGGGCATTGGTTTCATCAGCTAGGCGCGGTACTTCATTTGCTCACATAGGTAAGTAGTAAACCTACCCACGATCAATGCACAATGAAAACTGGACTTGCCCTTTAGAACTCACCCAAAACTTATCCATACTTGCAGGATTTATCTGTCATATAGTTGTTTTTTTCTTTTTGAATAAAACAAACATTTTAGAGTTGCAGACCCATGTAAAAAGGAATGCGATCTAGGAGACGAATGGTCTGGGCAAACTAAAATATAGGGCTCATTCAATGCAAAAAATATTGCAGTGTACAATGAAGGATACCTCAACGTGGACAAGCTCTTGCTCCTGGGATCTGCAAACCAGAGGTTAATAATTATATATCAAGGCATACAAATTGGTAAATTGAAAAGTTCCCACGAAATCCTACAAGTCACTAAAAATATTAATAATTAAATGAATGAAGGGAAGTAAGCAAATTAGCTTAGCTGCAGGTACGACTAATTGGCATTGAAGTTGCACATCTTGTCGTCCCATCTGTTGCGTATGCGTACTGTCTCGGAGGCTTTGCTGAAGTCTTCACATGCCTTATCGTTTTAGCTTGAGGGGATAAGGCAGGTCATTTGGATGGCGTGATAAGACTCCAGGTCAAAATCGACACCACGTCGAAAATGGGTAACAATAGCAGATAATTCACAAGTTTTATGTACGCCATGAATAAGCTTTCGTTTATCAATCTCGGTGTCATTCCTTCCTAGACATTTACATCTTGACAAGCTTTTCAAATGGGCGTAAGCTACTGGCCTTGAACACTCGGTCGACTTGGTGCGGCCAGCCGTGAGATGGTGCAGTGCCACGGCACAGCCACATCAACTTTACTACGGCTCTTCTTTTCTCCTCATTAGTGACAGTTTTATTTTATATAGGAATGAACTGCTGAGTGTGCAGGCACCCGCCACCATGTAGTTCTCAATGTCGCTTAGAAAAGCGCCCAAAATGTCTCGCCCCTACTCACTTCTTGCGCTAAACTAATTGAGCAACTGATGTATTCTTCTGTGTCGACAAACTAAATACGCCCCTGTGTCCAAGTAGGTGTGCTATTTTCTGCCACTCTTATCAGTGTGGGCCTAGCGACTTACTGTTATTCTCCGTATGTGCCTTGTGTTCCCACGCCCTTTAGTGAAGACTAAGTAGAGCAAAGCATTAACCTCCTAGTCCATCCACACCGCTGTTACAACATAGAGAACTAGTTGAACGTCAGGAGAAATTGGGTCATTTGAGTCTCAGGTAAGTAAGTTAATGTGCTGTGTTGTCAACCCAGTGATATTGTCACTAATTGCACCTCAATCAATTCGCAAACATAACGACGTGCAATCCGATAATCACAAATTCAGCACATTGCAAGCCATTTATGCACTACCAATTTCTCCAAAAACACGACGATAAAGTGCTACGTTAGGTCGTTTAAGGAGTACTTGCAAAGAAGTAGCCAAACGGAGAAGCAATTTGTCAAGAGGGGGTAAGAGATAGTAGCATTGCGCAGACCATGCCAACTCAGCTTTGTACAGGCACAGTCAATTTAAATAAATTGGGTAGCCTCGATGAGTTGCGTGAGCTACGAGACCTCCTCACTTGACACCGTCTCAACCTCAATGATTTGTCAAATGGACTCGTCCGATTAATGTGAATTCCTAGAGAATAAACATGTGCTTGAAAGCATGGAAGCAGAATCGCCGAT